TCAGGTCATGCATGTTTTGCTGGATTGTATCTTGTACAGCAGAAGGAGGCTTAGCTGTTAAGACTCTTTCATGGGATGGCTTTGTGTATCATTCTTTGCTCTCTCAGCAGTTTAGAAATGAAATACTTTTAGCCTCGGAGAAGTTGATCTATTTTAAAAACACAGATTATGTTTGCGGGTGGCAGAGAACGGCTTCAGAGTCATGTTGTTTGGGGTTCTTTTCCTAGCAACATTAGAGCAAAGCAAGTGTGCTGTCTCCAGCAGCACGGTGGAGCAGGTCTTGTTTAGAGCAAGACTAGACTGTGTTTGAATACATGTTCAGAAGTACCCCTAAGAACTGAAGGACCAAGCTCGAATGTTTATTCCCTCCTTTCACACCAGTTTTGTTGTGTTAGAAATGTGGTTTCCATATTTGTTTGTTTACCTTTATGTAGAAATAGCTTCTCCTCATTTGTAGTGTTTTCCTTGCCTTTACACAAGCCAAAAGTGACGTTTTTTATTTTCACTTGTGCCATCCCTTCTGTTTACTCTTCTGAGTTTATTTTTGGTGAAAGAAGCTGCCATGTTAATGTTACGAGACAGAAGGCCTCTGTCTCCAAAAGATACAGGAGTGGTAATCTGTTCCTGGTTGAAAATTACTGCATTGCTGTGTTTTTGTGGATGCAGGCCCAGTGGACACATCCCTGCTACCTTTACGTTGGTTCAGTATCTCTGACAGAACTGGTCCCCATGCAGGTTGGAGTCCCTTCCCTGTGAAGAGTCTCACTAACAGTGTTTTGCATCTTTAGGTTTTTATCAGGATAGTTATCATGATATAATAGCATATGCTTTGCTTTATTTTCTTTTCTTCTCCTTGCATTGAGAGCAGACCCTAATACTTCTAAAGTGCTTTCAGAAGATCTGTTAGATAAGTTTAAGCTGGCACTAGCTTGGTGTTTAAGCTAATGCCCTAGCAGTACAAGGTCCTGTCTTGCTCTAATGAGCATAACTTGTCATAGCATCTGGGCAGGAACACATAACAGCTCGTTGGGATGCTACTCTGCCTTCTCTGTTTGGGGACATTGGGCATAGACCTCACGCAGACCTAAGCACTCAGTAGTCCCCATACAGGAATCATACCAGCAGATCCAAGTTTCCTGTGGCCATCCTGAAACACATGTAAGCCCGTGTCCAAAAGCCCTATGTGTTTACCCAGATCTACTTTTCTGTGAGTGTGTTAACAGTTTCCAAAGTTTAGTGCTTATCTTGGCTATCTGTTCTCTTGGTCCTGTTTGGGATGTGCTATACTACTGGTTACCTCCGGGGGGAGCAAGGTAGTCAGTTGGAGATGGGAAAAGCTTCAAGAATGAAATTTACAGATGTTGAAATATTTTCGTTTGGTATATTTAAGAGAGCCCTCCAGAGGGAGAGAGTAAGTGTGCAAGTAACTTTACTCTCCCTTGAAATGGAAGCGATGAGGTGGAGGTGAAAGAGATGGGCAATGAAAACAGGATATGGCAGAAGAGTAAGGAACTCTTCAAAATTTATTATGCATTTAGATTATATTGCATTGGCAGTTCAGCTTTCTAGATGTTCCTAATTTTCCATATGGTAATGTCAAGTGCCTTCCTCATGGTTTGGTACCCCACGGTGCTGGGAACTGTATGGGCACATAACAAAAAGGTGGTTGTTCCAAGGAGCTTAAAATGTGCGGGAAACAAAGGAGAAATGTAGCCAGCTGGGAGAAAAGAGATAGCAGCCAGTGGCCTACACTGTTGTCAGGTTATTGCACAGCTGGAGTAGCAAAGTGGGAGAATGAAGAAAATTGAGGTGAATATGAAATAGCTTGTGGCTGTTGGAAAGGACCTTTTTCCCTGGACATGAGAGGAAGCAGGAAGTTATGTGTTATGGCACTGACACGGGCTGTGATGGAGGTAGATGTCCAAAAACCAAGTATCAAACAAACACATTCACTGTGTCAGGTAAGAGGGAAGCTTCTTACACCAGGGTGCTCTATCTGAAGTTTGTCCAGGCAGCATGTTTGCTGTGATGTGCTCCCAGGTAGCACCTTTGCTGGAAGCCTGTTCTGATAATGTGCTGGGCTCGGTCCTGTTGCACAATGAGGAAGAGGCATCTTGGAAACAAGGCCTGTTAAGAGGGTTGCCATAGCCCTGTCATGTTGCTCTTTTTAACAAGGCGAAAGAGGAGCTAGCAGACTCTGAGCTGGTGGTAGTGAATGAGCTGAAATCCACTCACCTGGTTGAGGCTGCAATCATCTGTGCTATTACCTATTTCTTAAATGCAGTACAGAATTGTTCTTACAGCTTCAGCTTCTTGAATCCAGTAGTCTTTCATAATAGCTTTGTGCACTGCTTATACCTGTCACTGTAGCAATAGTGTATGGGACTTCAGGAGATTAGAAAGGATAATTTGGAAGGTATATGTTAATTTTGCAGAATTGAGAGTACAGTGTTTCTTTGTGTTTCATTAGCAAGGAGAATGAACTGCTAGATGATGCTTACAACCAATAAAAAGTATCAAGCAATTAAAAGTTGTCCTGAGGGGCAACCCTGAGGAACAGTGGGGTGCTCATGGGTGAGGTGGGTTGGGGTTTGGGCTAGGAGAAGTGGAGCCCTGATTAAGAAAGTTTGTATATTTTCTTTCAGAACACAGTGCTGGAAAGAGTTATTAGTTTCAGTGACTGTGAATTAAAGGGGATTAGGTGGAGAATGATGCATAATCATGTAATTAACAACAGTTTATGTATAATCACAAGGGGGCAGTGTTAAGGTTGCATACAACGTAAACTTGTAAGTGTCCTTGTCATGTCAGAATGCTTGCTCATGACTTTTTGCTGTTTCAGCTGCTTTTAAAATGAGTGCAGAGAAGCAGAGGAATTCCCTTTCAGATCTTCAGTTCTGCTGTTGTTAACCTGTGCTGCATTTGGGTCTGTGCTATTGGTGTGGTTTGATTATCTGGAGTGTGGAGCTCCAGGTCTTGTCCCTCCTGCCACTGGTGGTCTGCAGTAGAGATCCTCTCCCCAGTGAACTTTGGGAAGGGCTTAACAGTGTCCTCTTTTGCATAGCTCCCGAAGTGCACTGGGATGTGCAGGATTGCAGCTGGCTGAACTTTATTTAGAGCTAGGTTAACCACAGGTGCATCTGCTCTGATTTCATTTTAGTTGCCCCCTTTGTGAGCTTAGTTGAAGCACTCTCAGCACTGTGAGTGTTCAGTCACTTCAGAAGTCACTTGGGTAGATAACTATTCTTAAAGCAATGAAAACCTTGCTTCCTTGTGACATCTCCATCCAGCCTTCATTTCTCCAAATTTTTAGATATAGTATAGATAATGTAATGTCTGTGTGTATTCTTTGAAACTCAAAACTTAATAGCTAAATTTCCTGTACTGATCAGGACTGGAAAGGAATTACCTCTTCAGTATGTGCAGTTATGGAAAGCTGTAACTCAGAGTAGGGATATTTTAGAAAAAGAATGAATGGAAAGAATGAAGAAAAGTCGAGTTTGACAATTATTTTGTAAATTAAACTATAACAGTTGTGAAACCTCCTCTATAGTAAGATAATATCTGCTTAAACAAATCTGGGTATTTCCCAGGATTTGTATTTGTTCTCTTCCCACTGTGGAGGAAAGCAGAAATGAGGTGGAATGTGGCATAACATCAGGGTGCCATGGCAGTGCTGGTGCAGGTGTGTGTGGTTTGGAAAGGTATGTGCTGGAGGGGCTATTTGCACACTTTAGTGTGCAAGTGGAAATGATTTGCTCCTGGCCCTCAGCTTTTACTGGGTGTGTGTTCCCCAGTTTGTGCAGGGGCTTCAGGCAGAGCAAGGCTGGGGCAGTTTTTGTACATATGTGTGTTCTCTTTCATGTACTGCTGTGACCTGTCAGTAAATGACAGTGTATGCCAAAAATTATTAGGAGGTTCAGAAGGAGGCAATATTATGCTGTTCCACTTATAACCATGTCATTACTACACTGCATCTGAAGCAGCTCTTCTAGTGGATAAAACCAATGGCTGCCTGCTTGTGATCTTGGTTTAAGTGGATTATCTTCCTCCAAGCCAGAGGTCACATTAGAGCCCTCTTACAACCAAATTGGAAATAATAGCTGCTTTAGATCTTAGACCTTCAAGAATTTGTTCCATTGAAAGAAAACAGCTTTTTCATCCAGGAAATGACCAAGGGTCATACTGCTTTGAAATCTTGCATATCCTTGTGTTCTGGGTGTGTTTTCATGGGTCAGCTGGCTTTGAAAAGCCAATCAGGTTACATTCATGTCATGTAGAAAACAATGCTAAGTTAGAATTATTGACAGGCTGGCTAAGTATACCATGCCGTACAATGTTTGGTAAAAGCATTGCCTTCATGCTCTTCTTTCTAGCAAGAGATTTCAGCCCATACCCTTCCAATGAAGGTGCTTTGGGCTGAGAGTATTTTCAAAATGGCAAGAGAGGTGTGGATTGCTCACTGGAGGAATGAGGATGCTGCTCTTTCCCCCTTGCTGCACAGTGTCACTTTGTGGTGCATGTTCTTGTTGCCTGCTGATGCTTATTCTGCTGCCTTCCAGGTAAAACCATAAGACTAAGACTCTGGCTTTTCAGGACACAGCAGAACAGCCAGTGCTTTTGTGGAGAGTAGAGCTGTTAACTTAAGCGTGCTTGTCATCTTCCAGTATGGGTGATTTAGATACTTCCTTCTGATCTCAGGTGAATGCTGTATTCATCTTGGTTTTAAAGATTTTTATTGCAGAAGGGTGGTGACCATGGTGGTGGCAGTATTTCATGGTCTCGGGGAGGCTGTGTTCTGTGTGGTAGAGAGGTTCCCGAGTATCCACATGATTTGTTGTATCACGAGGGGTGGCAGTAGCAGACTTATCCAGCTCCTGTTCGTAAAGCATGTGAGCAGCCTGGTGAAAGGCATGTGAGAGATGCAAAGTACTGCTACTGTTATGCTCCTGAGTTCTTTCAGCTGGGTTCAATTGCTTTTTGGTTCTCTTCCTTGACAGGTCTTGGCTCGTGGGCAGCTCTCTAGCAATTGCAACAGGAACCTCACACCAAAAGGCACCATGATAGTGATGAGTGGCGTCACTGCAGCCCCCAGATTGGGGTCAACTGCCACCACTCCAGCTGTGGCTCCCAACTTCTCCTGGATGCCGGAGGATGGCAGCCCCACAGCTGTGGAGCAGCCAGTATTCCTCATGACTACCGCTGCTCAGGCCATCTCAGGTTTCTTTGTATGGACAGCTTTGCTCATCACCTGCCATCAGGTAAAATCCTGTCGCTCATGCTTATCCTTTTCCCCACATGGAGTTACACATATGATCCCCTGGCACATCTCTGCCAGATACAGTGGTGTGATGGGGATTTGCAGGCTCTGGAGTGGTAGCAGGACCTCTTCTTTGGGGTCTAATATATAATCTGTGCTGATCAGGGTAGCAACTTTTATATGAAGGCCTTTCTCTATCTACGTTAAGACCGTTTCTGTAGTGTGAATGGAGAGGAAGCAAACTCTTTAGTAGGTGTAAAACATTGGGCCATCTCCTGAGTGTTTGCAGAAAAGTGTGTTATCTCAAGTCATCCTTTCCCAGGTCTTGTAGCTGAATCTAGCCACTTTGTTATTGTGTCAGCTGTTAGCTAAGTGATCATGGTCATCTGTTGCTTGACATATCTCCTTTGATCTCCCGTGCCAGTTGATTCCACAAGCTGAACTCTGCTGCGGAAGGGAGCAGCAGGAAATGTTTTATTTTAATTTTTCTCCCCTCTTTCTGGGGCAGGTGTCCTGGGAGCCAGAACAAGTCAAACCCTGCATCCTGTTCTGTACCTCTCTTTCACACAGTTGTCATGTGAACTGAAAAACACAGTGGGGAAACGCAAGCCCTGTTATTTATTAACCTGTGTTTTGTATCTGTTGGTCTGTAGATTCCAGACTGATGACTAGGATCTAGAAAACTACAGCCTATTGATGGAGTACAGGGGCTAGTGAAGTTCAAAAATGGATTAGTCACTGATGAATAAGAGTAACACCTGCAGTTTCACCAGCCTGGGTAACAATTACAAGTGCCATGGATCCTCCTGTTTCTGAGCACAAATTGATTGCCTACTGAGGGTAGGAAGAAATCTTTCCTATGCAGTATAGCATTGCACAGTTAGGTATTAATGCCTTTTGCTGAAGAATCCAGTGGAGGTCAGTGCCAGCGTGACACTGTTGATTGAAATGCACTGTTGTCTTGCTACAAGGCAGCAGTTCCTGTGCTCTTATAGGCGCACGGATTGCAGGGCTCTTGTGACATCCCAAGGGCAAAGCTTGTAGTTATCTGAAGTCCAGTGTCAGCTGTCCCTGTGCTGGGTGAAGTGTGTTGCCAGGATTGTCACAAGGAGAAAATAGTCCTAATGTCTATTAGTTTATTTTCAATGTGTTCTCCTCAGGAAATTAAGCTTTTGTGAGCTCCTTATGGGTTAGGGAGAGGAAACAGAAGTATTTTGAGCCCTTCAGTTGGTTTTTGACCAGATCTGTCCAGGAGGCAGGAGAGGTGAGCAATAGGCAGCTGAGGAATGACAACCCCCTCTCCCTTATGAGGGAGATGCGAGATCATCAATGTATGCTTCATTAGACCCTGGAGAATCCTCGCAGCACCCTCAAATGCAGGGTGAAGCTTCAGACAAATGCTTGTGCCTCTTCAGGCAGCAGAATAGGTCAGTCATGAGGCATGTATGCAATAAACTAGCTGTTATTAATTCCAGCAGTTGGGGCAGCACCTTGATGAGTGTTGCAGTGCGGAGGCCTTGCCTCTGGAGAACATGACCTCTGCTGACTGTGGTCAGCAGAGCGTACCCGCAACTCACGCCGAAGCTCTGACCATGTTATTAGGCCATTATAGAAGTGATGCTCATCTACAGGGTATACTTGTGGTCAATACCTCTTCCAGGAGGTGGGTATTCTGCAAAAAAACATCTTGGGTGTGGGATTTAATGATGGATAACAAACTGTGAGTGGTGGGACTGGGTAGGGTGGGGACATTGTGCTCCCCCCAGCGGGTGACTTGGAAGGATTGGCACGTGTGTAGACAGTCGGACAAAACAAGAAGTGTGGCTTTGTGGTCCCTTTCAGCATGGTGCATGAGTTCGATGCTCACTTGATGGCTGACGCTTTGTGACTCTGCTTTCACTGATGTGCAGTGTGCAGAATGGCACTTTTTGAGAAGATAGGCTGGGGCTCATCAGCTCTTGGCAGTGCTGTGAAGGTCTCTTAGGTTGTTTCAGGTGAAAGTCTCAGAAGCATCCAAAACTGCCAAGAGAGTGAGAGTGTTTACAATGAGCATGTGCTTAAGCACATGCACCTTCCCTCTGCAGAGAAAAGCAGCCTGCAGTGTCATGCATCTTAGGTACTTAAAACAGGAAAGGAGGAATATAGGATTGATATTTAGGAAGAAAGTTATGAACAAAAGAACATGGGCAAGGTGATGATAATAACAGCAAATTAATTCCCTATAAGAAACTAGATTAGAAATGCCTCCACTTCCTTTTCCCCCTTCTTCTGCCTCTCTGCAAGCTAAGGGGTGCTATATCAATGCCATATGATAACAGTGGTTTTTTTCTTTTTTTATGTTCATCACCTTGAGGCTGCTGGAGGCAATAAAGAGGTGATTTACTGAGTTTGTTTTTCCTGGCGCAGTTGACTCTCCAGTTCTACCTTCTCCTCTCTGTTCCATGTACCGCTGATCCTGGTCTCCCCTCTCCATCCTCTCAGATCTACATGCATCTTCGCTGCTATAGCTGCCCAAATGAACAGCGCTACATTGTTCGGATCCTCTTCATTGTGCCCATTTACGCCTTTGACTCATGGCTCAGTCTCCTGTTCTTCACCAATGACCAGTACTATGTTTACTTTGGCACAGTGCGGGACTGCTACGAAGGTAAGGAGGGGTCAGACAGATAATGGGGGAGGTGGGAAGTCTACCCTGAGAGAACTTTTGCTTCTGGTTGGGAACATGGAGCAAGCTTCACTGTCACCTAATGGTGTGCCTCACTGGATGACCATGGCTTACTCAGTGGCTGAAAATCACAGAATTGTCGGATGGATTGGGTCAGGCAGGACCTTGAAAGATCATCTAGTGCAACGCCCCTGCCGTAGGCTGGGACATCTTTCACTAGATCAGGTTGTTCAAAGACCTGTCCAACCTGACATTTTCCCTCGATGGCCTCTGAGCATGACATGTTGAGTGTGTCCAAAGAAGGGCAACAAAGCTGGTGCAGGGAGAGAACTGGGGGTGTTTAGTCTGGAGAAGAGGAGGCTGAGGGGAGACCTCATCGCCCTCTACAGCTACCTGAAAGGAGGTTGCAGAGAGCTGGGGATGAGTCTCTTTAACCAAGTAACAAGCAATAGGACAAGAGGGAATGTCCTGAAGTTGCACCAGGGAAGGTTTAGACTGGATATTAGGAAGCATTTCTTTACACAGAACAAGTTGTTAGGCGTTGGAATGGGCTGCCCAGGGAGGTGGTGGAGTGAGTCCCCATTCCTGGAGGTGTTTAAGGGTTGGGTCGACATAGTGCTGAGGGATCTGGTGTAGCTGGGAACTGTCAGTGTGAGGTTAATGGTTGGACTGGATGATCTTCAAGGTCTTTTCCAACCTAGACAATTCTGTGAATCTGTGAGCCTTCCCTCTGATCAGACTTTGTCTCTGTAGAGACAAACTCTGACAAACTCTGTAGAGACAAAGTTTATTATTTTCTTGGGTCCTTTGCTTCAGAAAGGTGTAAAGCAAAAAATCTTATTTTACCTGGGTGTAGTGAAGTATTTTATAGCTCCTGGCTCTTCTAACAGCACTTATTCAGCAGCCAGACATTTGTTTTGTCCTGTTTTCCTGATGCAGTTTGTTAGCAATGTATTTTTCCAGTTCCATCCTGTGGCCACTTGTGTGCTTGCACAGGGTAGCACAGCCACCACATTCTGGGGTTGGTGAGGTGTAAAGTGCCTTGGAGCCCTGTGGGAGGGGGGGGGCATGTTCAGGATGAGTTACCGATTGCTTTGGTTTTGGTTATCTCCTGAAGATAATACCACTAGTGTTGTATGTGAGAGAAACAGTTACTCCCCTATAAATGCTATCTAAGCTTCCCTCCTGATCTCATCTAGAAAGAAGCCTCTACCCACCCAGCAGGAGGAACTGCACTTTAGCAGTGTATTTCTGAGGATAATTTATCACCATACCCCCATGAAATTGTAACTCATTGGTGCAGTTATTTTGGTGAGATCTGCATTGCAGAGAAGTGCCCCTGGCCATGTGAACAAGTTAATCAGCTGAAGGGACCAGCAGGCCCTCCTTCACATCCACAACAGTGCTCTGAGATGCAGCAGCAGATGGCAAACATGCACACGTGATTCAGAAGGCATCTTTGTTTGGGCCTGTTTTTTTTTCCTTCCCTGCCCTGCATGCGTGTGTAGGTCTAGCAAGAAGCCTGCTGCTCTGTCAAACTCCTCTCCTAGCAACAGTCAGTATCCCTCTGCCTCACTTGGGGAGTTTGCAAATGTCCGAGCATCTGCTCAGGAGGCAGCCCATCCTCCAGATTTCACCTCTGCATGTTGGGCTGTGCAAGAAGACTACAGGTGGAGGTGAAAGCACCTTTGGTGAGCAGGTTCTCTCCCTCGCTTTTTCTGGGGATTGCTTCAAAATAGCCTTTTAGTTCACTTCCTTTCCTTGCTGTCCACCCCATCCTTTCTTTTTTTGGGAAGATTTTAGGTTGTGAAGTGGGGAGGAGCTCTGTTAGGGAATAGGGGGAGAAGACCCTACTAATAAATTTCGAAAGCTTTCGTGGGCTATTTATGGGCTGCATTTTGTAGTATGTATTAGGAGGAGCATGTTTTGGTGTTGCTCTTTCATGTGACTCTGCTTCTGTACAAACCTGAGTGTCAGTAAAACACAGTAGGGTATTTTTGCTATGTTGATGTCATGAGCACCATCTGATGAATGTGGATCAGGAATGGGAGAAGAGTTCTTTTGCTGGTGTGGTGAGCTTTGATAGTTAGCACTCATTTCTTTTGGGGATGGAGGGACAGGTATTTTCCTCTCCCTTTTTTCTTTTTTTTCGTCCTCTGATGTCATCTCTTCCCTAGTGCTTGTGGAATGGGCAGCTGGTATTGTAATGACCACATCAGAGGGCAGGGGTCACTGGAGGATAATAGGAAAAGCTCAGCTTTTCTTCCTCTGTGTGCTGGGAGCTGTCAGCTAAGTTGCAGGAAAATTGCAGGCAAAAGGGGTTACCACAGTTATTTAAATACGTTTTCCATGGTTGATGTTTTCTCTCCTAATTAAGGCTTTTGAAAAATCATTGCTGTGTGAACATACCTAACTTTATTGAACAAGGATTACAGATGGAATAACAATATCCCAATTACATACATAGAAGCAGGTATACCACTGGCTTTTATGTGCTGGAGCATTCTTGCCAGCTAGGCACATCTACAAGCCATAAATATAATGTTTTGAGACTATGAGCATTTTGAGGAGTGTTGAGTACTTTTTCCAGGGTATAGTTTGGATAAATTAGAGTCGATGTCTGTCTCTGGCTTTGGAAGTTCATCCACGTGAGAAAATTGACCTCAGGGCTAATAACTGGCTGCTTGGTGAGGTCAGCTTCTCAGCACTGTACATTATTAGGCTTCTGTTCTTATTTCAAAGTTCCTCAAGACTTCTGTTTCCATCACAAGTTATTTTATCTTTGTATTATGTCAGTGCTGGGAGCCAAAACCAGGATTTGGGTGTTGGCATTCCAGGGAATGTCCAGGTACAGACTATCATAGAAAATAATGTTGAAAGAAGGGTAACCTGGTCTGTCATTTTGCCCCAAGGCTGTATGTGACAAATTTAGGAGTACAGTCCTTGACCTAAAAATCTCACAATTGTTTGAGGGTCCAACAGCAATTATAACAAGTCAGGAGTGGCAGACAGGGCATGTACAAGCTTACTCCATGCACAGTTAAATGGGTTTGGATCCTGTGAAAAGGAAACTTGTCTGTAGTTATGATGAGAGCCCTCTCAACAGTGCTTTCACCTCAGTTTATCAGCAAAACTGAGCCTTGAAGAGCATTGAAATGGGGCAGAGTATTAGCAGTCAGTCTGAGAAGGCTTTTCCTCATCTGTACTAGGCTGCTGGGGAAGGCAGAAAGAGGTGGCCCAAGGAGAAGTCTATTTATTCAGTATGCAGAAAATTTCAGCTTTCTGAGGAACTGAAGCACAGAGCTTGTTTTTCAAAAGTCTCCACCAGACATGAAAACAGAATTTCAGTGGTTGGTAAAACCCCTCTGTTTCTCCAAGCTCTTTTGTCTGTAGTCTGGTTACCTCAGAGAGAAACTGTGTTTGTCACCTAAAAGGTTAAATACAGGAGATAAGGTATGGTTGATGAATCAGAGATAACTTTTCCAAATTCTTCAGTACCCATGTAATGTCCTGGAATTATGCACAGGAACCCTGTAAAGAATGGCATCTTACAGATGTCAAGTAAAACAGACTGACCAAGTTTTAAATGGTCCTGTGACCCTTTTGGCATGAGTCATGGAACTGGCCTGGGACTTTGGCCGAAGTCCAGGCCAGATAGTCTTGCGAGTGCTGAGGTAGAATGGTAAATGCAGTGAAAATAATCTGGAGTGCTTTGAAGGGAAAGGTGCTGCATAAGTAGTCCCTGCTAATGTTTGGTCTGTTGCCTGTACTCTTGGTCCTTGCACCTGTTTTGAAGTTGGTTGTCATTTTACTCTGATTGATGTCTTTGCAGCCTTTGTAATATACAACTTTCTAAGCCTCTGCTATGAGTACTTGGGAGGGGAGAGCTCCATCATGTCTGAGATCAGAGGGAAACCAATTGAGTGAGTATTTATTGTGCTTACAGCCTGATGCTCTTCTCCTCCTGTGCCTATCTACCATGTCTCTATCTCTGCCCAGAAAAACTGTGTCAGGTGGCAAATGTCTGTTGGGACTGGGCAACATGGATGGTGATAATTTACCAGTACTCTGTTCTCTGAGACAGATCAGGCTGATCACATCCTCTTAAGCAAGATGGACTGATTCACAGCTTTTCTGGACACCTGTCTGCTCCTTTATTTCATTTCTTATTCCCTCTCCTCCTTTAAATCTTTTCTGTCTTCAGTTGGTTGTGTGTGCTTCTTCTAGGATCTGTGTTTTTCCCCATGCTGCTCAGTTAAAAAGAAAAAAAAAAATACATTAGACTGTGGAGTCAGGATGTTGTTTTAAACACAACTTCAAAAGATGGTATGGCTGTAACTGTAATCATGGTTGGAGAAAGCACCAGTTCTGCAACTTTGCTACAGAGAGGTAGACAAAGAGGATAGTAATCTTGCACTCTAGCCCAAACCTTACTTGTGAACCCTGTCATCCTTGTGTTGGCTCTTTCAGGTCCAGCTGTGTATATGGGACTTGCTGCCTGTGGGGAAAGACCTATTCAATTGGATTCCTGAGGTTCTGCAAACAGGTATGGGCCAAAGGAGTTGTGCCATACTCCAGAAGTGAATCAAGTGTGTGTGGGTGGCAGTGGTGCCTTTGGTGTTGAACTTCTGAGATGAGCACTCCTCTGAGGGGTTTATAATACCATTTTGAGAGGCCTGCAGACTGCTGAGAAGAGGGGGTGTTTTGGGGATTTTTGTTTCTTTCTTTGTTTTGAGTTACCTTACCATTATCTACTCAACCCCGTATCAGGAAGGCCTTAGCAAAAGGCCCAATTTATCTCCTGGATCCGATATTAGTCCTGCGAAGAAATTCTGATTTCCTCTTCCCTTTCTGGATTGCAGAGGTCCCAGCTTTAAGAAACTGATGGCTGTGTTGTGTTGCAGACACCTCACAGTTGTGTAATAGCCTCCTGAATTCCCACTGCTGCTGATGTGGTTTGGAGTTGAGGAGGGGGTGGAGGTTAAGTGTGACACAGTGCTTTGTAGGAGGAACGAAGTATTGCTCACCATGTGTGTCTGTCTGTGCTGAATTGGGTATTTTAAGGGGGAGGGAATGGGGGAGATCTAAACCTCAATACAGGCCTTATCTACTCATCCCAGGTCAGTCACCTCTGACTGTCATGAAACAGCAGGTGAGTTTCAAGGCTTTGCCCACTTGCTGAAATGAGCATATGAGGTTTTTTTGGAGACAGTGTGAGGCAGATCTGTTTTTTTGAAAGTATTCAGATCATTGTAATTCCAGTCATTGGGTCTAGATATCTGCCCTGGCTTCTCTTCCACATTGTGGCCCGTCTTCTGTGTTTTAGCAATATGCAGGAGCATCAGAGGTACAGTGCACCCTCATAGTAATATCCAGTGTTAATCTCTGCACCTTAAGTGGCCTTTTTCAAAGGACTACATCTTTCTTTTATCTGTTCTGTCTGTCCCATATTCTGTCCTCATGGCTTTCCTGTTTTCTTCCCTGATTCTTTATTTTCTAGTCTGCTCCCAGTATACTGCTTTGCCTGTTTCTCTTGGGCTTCATTTTTACACCCTTTGTTTGATTTGATGCATTACCTATTCTTTTTGCTCCTAATGTTAACCTTTTAAATGTGTCATAAGCAGATGTAACACCCATCAATGTGAAAGAGTGCTGGAGAAATAATTTTCCTTAGACATCTTGTTTCTCATGTCCCACAGCCTCTAGCAGTTATCTCCACATGGGTTGCACCTGCTGTGTTCGGAAAGTTTTTTTTCACAACAGTGAGGACTAGAAGCAGTTTTTTGAGAGTGTACGGGAGTGGTTCTTCTGGCTTCTGCAAATTCTCAGTTCATTTGGTAGCTCAGGTGGATATTTTGCTTTTCCTTTGCTTCTGTCTGTCAGCCTTTCTTCTAGTCAGGCCTGGCCTTTGCAAACTGCTAAGTCTGCTGTGGAGGCTGTGAGGGCAGTGTCTTGCAAAGGTTTGTTTAAATACTTCTGTCCTTCTTGGCTCGAGCTTAAAATTGCCTTGGTGAGAAACCTTTGACACAAAAACTCGCTTTCTGGTACTTCTAGACTTCTAAGATTGCCAAGTAAGACCTTTCAAGGCAAATTCCTGGGAAGGCTGGTGTAAAAGGGCAACAAAGAGCACATCTCAGTGATGATCTGTGTGGTATCCACAACTGTGATCAGGAAGAGGAATGTGCTGGAAGGAGCACCTTGCCCATTTTATCCCTGTTCTCAGCATCTCCACCACTCCTGTTGCCTCCCACTGCTACCTGCCCATTTTCTTTTCTTTCCAGCCCCTTTCATCCTGAAGGAATCTGTGTGTAACAACCATTCCTTCTTTTCATCTTTACTCCCACCCCAAGCTATTCCCAGGCAGGTGCCTGCTGTCAGTCAGTCAGTCTGCTTGTGTTGCCTGAGGCCCCCCAGCAGTTGGGTGGTATGCTGGTGGCTGCAGTGTCGTATCTGGACAGCTTGTTTCCTCAAAGATGTCTTTACCAAGACTCTTTGCTGGGTCTGTGTCTGGTGACCCTCATAGATGGGTCATGCACCATCCATGTGCTTCCTGATTGCCGTAGCATTTTCTGGGGAAGCAACTAAAAATAGGACATGGTTGTTTGGATTGCAGGGAAATGGTTAAAACATACCCAGATTGGAAGGAGGGGAAGCTTGGAGGACAGAGTTGTTTCCGAATCAGCTTGACCTTTTGTAGTTCACTTATTTACAGTGACTCACTAACTGGCATGTGCTGGGGTTTTTAATCTCCTTGAAGTCTTATGACCACTAACAAATTGCACTGTATCCAAAGCAATTATTCCTGTTTGGTTTTGCCTTCTTTCCATACACAGCCCTCCCCACATGTGTGCAGGTCAGCACCTGCCCAGGCTCTTGCAATCTCCTTCAGGGAGGCATCCGTGATGTTTTTAGGGTCACAATCCTATGCTGTTTTAGGACTTTGGAGTTCAGCATCTCCAAGAAAGATGAAGCATGGGGTTGCTTTGGGAGAGGACGAGTCCCAATAGGAGCACTGATTGAAACTGGCAGAATGGATAGAGCTGATCCCAAGTGCTATGGAGCCCTTGGGGAGATTTAGTAAGGTCACATGGGTGACAACTGAGTAGCTCTTAACTTCTGTCTGGCAACATACATTGCTGTATATATTAAATGCCTTAACATGATGGCAATTGTCAAAGTTCCTCCTCAGAGAGCTGGGTTTCCCTGCTATCCAGAGGACCATCTTGCCCACCTTTATGGCAACTATGGATTGAGGTTTGCTTCCTTTCCCTGCTATCTCTTTTTTAAACTTGCTGTGTCCATACCATAGCACAGTGTGGGATTTTTTTTTTTTTCTCAGACCATTACCATGCATAAATGTGCTGCAGCACAGCCTGTAAAAGATGGCTCTGGAAGAGAGCAGCTGAGCAATTTCTGGGAGCAACCTACAGAGAAGTTTTTCATCCTGGACAAGTAGATAGCACACATACTTCTTCTGAGTCTCCTTTATGTCCTGTTGGGTGCCGCAGGCCTCAAGCATGGTCGATTAGCAAGCACTGGGGTCAGAGTCCTGGCTGGGGCTGGATTGTTTTGCATTGCTGTGCTGTCCCAGTAGAGATGCTCATGGTGATTGGGAACTTGGCCTTTTGGACTTCCTGTCCTCTCGTTCCTCCAGGCTACCCTGCAGTTCTGTGTGGTGAAGCCCCTCATGGCGATCAGCACAGTCATCCTTCAGGCCTTCGGCAAGTACCAGGATGGTGACTTTGAGTAAGTTTGTTTGCCTAGCAAGCATGACTTGGCTGTTCTCTGCCCAGCTGTGCTTCTCTGTCCGTGTGTGTGTGCTGGACTGTGGGAAAAGATGTGGGGACAGCACTGGCTTAATATACATGTGAGAAAAGAGGGCAGGGGTAAACCTTTAGGTTTCAGGTTTCTTCTACCTCAGCTCAGGGGAGGGAATGGGACAGGGAGACAGGAAGGAAACACAAAGTCTTAGAAGTCTCCAGTGACAGCAGCAAGGGGAAAAGATCATACTGAAATTTCAGGCATTCATGCGTCTTTTCCTTTCAGTGTAACCAGTGGCTACCTCTATGTGACGATCATCTACAACATCTCTGTCAGCCTGGCACTGTATGCCCTCTTCCTTTTTTACTTTGCCACACGTGAGCTGCTGAGTCCCTATAGCCCAGTCCTCAAGTTCTTCATGGTGAAGTCTGTCATCTTCCTGTCCTTCTGGCAAGGTGAGTTGCTTTTCCCTTCCCTTGGTAGACACAAAGATCTTTCTGCAGGGGCTCAGGTACTAGAATTGATAGAGCAACTGCTGATCAATATCCAGAACGTCTTTCTGTATTATTTGTTTTTTAGTCTTTCATTGCTTTTTTCTGGGAAACCTGTTTTGCTCATTTTCATCTTTGTTTCTATGCTCCTGAATCCTCACTATCCCTGTGCATGTGCATGTGCCCCTTGTGTATCTGCCTGGCAAAATCAGCTGTTTGGATGAAGAGTCCTTTGCGTTCCTGGAATGATCATAAAGCACAAGCTGCCAACATTATATCTGCATGCTGCCATTTTATTGATTAAAGTGGCACATCTAAAAATATTTTTTTGTTGTTTTATTGTTCTATAATTAAAAATCTAATGGTATGTCTGTGATTCATGTGAAGTAGCAAGCTGTCTGAATGCAGTGTGTGCTGCCGTGGAACTGCCACCAAGTGGAAGGACATTTAGAATACATACATATGATGCAGAGGCACATTCAGAAAGCTGAAATTCCACCTCAGTTTAGTGCCTCTTACTAATTGGCTCTAAGCATTTCCCTGTTCGATGCCCTACTTAAGTTTACCAAGTTGCACTTCAAAGACTAATTGAGTGAGCATTTAGGTGGAATTTAGGCTGTTGGAGTATGGCCCATCCTCCCTGTCTACAGACAAACTAATGAGCTGTCTAGTTTATCATCTTGGGCCATCTGGTCACACACTTTCTGCCTTCTGTGGAATTCTTCAGCCACCTGGCTATGGACAGGGAGAAATATCTTCCTTGCTATGGTGTGTCAAAACCACTTTATGCTTAAATTTAAAGCTCTGTTACCTCATTTTTTTCTGTAGCTAATGGAAGTGCTGAGATCACAGAAGTGTGCACAGAAATATCTGACTTCTTTTTACGGTTTTGGACTTGATTAAGTCCTGCAGCATCTAGTTCCACAGATTATGCATCAGTTGAGAATAGAAGAGGGTCAGTGTTTGAAAATTCTTTGCTTAAATGTATTTTTCTCATTTATTCATCCTTTCTCTGTTGTACAGGTGAGCGTAGGTGGGAGTATCTAGCCCGCTCTGTTTGTAGCTCCTGTGTTAAATGGGTATGCATCTAGGACATGCAGCATAGACACCTTTGTCCATTCCTTACAGTTAGCATATGATTGTGTTTTCTGCATATTTACATGAACTTGTTGCTTTGTTTAGGGATGCTGTTGGCCATCTTGGAAAAGTGTGGTGCCATCCCCAAAATCCACTCTGCCAGCGTGTCTGTGGGTGAAGGCACCGTAGCTGCCGGGTATCAGGACTTCATCATTTGCGTGGAGATGTTCTTTGCAGCCATTGCCCTACGCCATGCTTTCACATACAAGGTGTATGTGGACAAGAGACTTGATGCTCAAGGTAGGAAATACGCTAGCATGTAGAACATTGTCTGTTTGGTAGTGAAGTGTGGACCAGCGTGGAGACTGGTCCCTCTAGCAACCAACACACTGATATGACTCCTAAGTTGAGTGCTTGGAAAAACATCACATCCCTGCCTCTGTGGTGTCTGAACAGATTAATTGTGCAATGGGATCTGCAGGGCAGAAACCTTGCCTGAACTGTGTTGTTCCCTTTTCAGTTCCCCAGTATGCCACCCACGAGAGCTTGTTGCAGATCTGATGGCTGCAAGAAGTTGCATCCTTTTGGTAAAGTGGGTTTGTCCTCCTTCCTGTCTCCCCAAAGGGGAACTCCATTGCTCCAGATTGTGCAACAGACTGAAGGCAGAAGGGACAGGCCCTGAAACAGGCTCTGTTTTGAATCTGGATCAGGAAGATGAGGCTGTGCTTTGGCAATATGTTTGGCTTGGAGGAAGAGGATCTTCCTGTAATGATTTTGTGAGGGCTGAGCTGCTAGAAATCTTATTCCAGGGAAGAGGGAGGTGGACATTATATCTGGGAAAAGGTGGTTCTTGTGCCCAGTCTATGCAAGTACATTCAGTGTTCCCCAGATAAAGGAGTTCCTTCCTGCTGGGGGTGGTGGTGCTGAGGTGTGGGAAGACAGGAGCCCTTGGGCAGTGTTCATGTAGATGATCCTCCATCCCAGCCAGCCCCAGAGGTTTTGGAAGGACTCTGACTGCAGCTGGGGGAGATGAGGTGGGTGATGAAAGGGTAAACTGCTGGCCAGTACAGTGGGGGATGTTTCGGTGGTGGGTCTTGCTCAGTTCTTGTTATTTCCTCTCTCTCTTTCTTTCTTTCTCTGTCTCTCTCCTCTCCCTTTTATCTCTCCCTTGCTTTGGCCACTGGTCCCTGATGCAGCTGTTCCATCATATGGGCCATACGGTAGGTACAGCATGCTCTGTGTGTTTGTTGGTTTTTAACTGGGATGCTGTTTTGTCCTGATTCCCAGCCTGCCTGCTGCTTGCCCTGTTCCTTGTTCCCCCTTCCTTGTAGGTCTGTAACTCGACTGTCTCGCACAGCTGCTTTAGGGTTGTCTGGATCTGAAGTTGTAAAACAGCCCCATGGGCAGTGGCATAACACCTGGCTTTAGAGTGTTGTCAGGACTGTGAATCTCTCTCCAAAGAGTTGCACAGACTCTCAAAGGAGCTAGTTTGTGCTCTCACCCCAGCCTCCCTTCAATTTCATAATTGCCACAGATAATTAACATGCTTTGGTTGTTTGGGGAGCTCATCCTTGGGACTGAGCAGAGCCAGAAGCCCACACTGGAAATGGGACCTAGAAGCCATGAGAAATAGCAGCTCCTAGAAGGACACACAGCCTTCCTCTGCTCAGCACTTGGGTGGGACAATCTCCAACTGTTGCTTCCTTCACGGTATTGCTGTGGCACCCTCCACCAGTGGGGCGGTTCTGCCTATAGTACTGCCTGTTCTTCTTTCCCTCCTTTGCACTGCTCCCCACTTTTATGATCTCTTTCCTGTGGACGCTTTGATGCCGCCCATTAGTCTAACTTCCAGTGAGTGGGAATAGCAAATGCCATTTCTCTTATATATTTAGACTTTCCTTAGTTTTTTGTCTTCTGAAACACTTTACAGGCGCACCTCCCTATCTGGCTGTATTCGTTGCACACCTGAGCTAGAACAGGTAGTGTGTAGTGGAGGTTGTCTCTGAGGGTATGTCCCATTCTCATGGTGTGTCCTTCATTTGGTGCTGAGGTGGATTCACTTGGCTAGCTAGCAGTAACTGGATTTAGGAGCACTACTGGTAAAATTTGACACCATTTGTGTGGCATTTCCTCAGCGGCTGCTTAAGGAAGTCTGTAAAGTAACTTCTGCAGTATCTAGGAGTGCACATTCCCTGTTCTCCTTACCTTCATGTTAAGGAGTATGGGGGAGGCAGCAGTATTTTTCACTTGTCCCTTCCCATCTTACCCCCAACAGGTCGCTGTGCTCCCATGAAGAGCATCTCCAGCAGCCTCAAGGAGACCATGAACCCCCACGACATTGTCCAAGATGCGATCCACAACTTCTCCCCAGCCTACCAGCAGTACACTCAGCAGTCAACGCTGGAGCATGGTCCACCCTGGCGTAATGGCAGTCATGTTATCTCACGCTCCCACAGCTGCTCGGGTGCCCGTGACAACGAGAAGACCCTCTTGCTGAGCTCTGATGATGAATTCTAGGAGGAGAAACTGCCAGAACAGGCTGTCATTTTCCTCCTTTTGTTCTTTTTATTTTTTTAATTTATTGAGCAGAAACACGCAAGTCATATCACTTCCTAGAGAGTGGAGATTGCAGAAGTGAGCACTTCCCATTAGCTTTTGTGGGTACGGACATGATGAGCAGTGCGGAGGTGGGGGAATGGCCAGGGCTCCACTCTTGAGCCCATTCCTTACAGCAGCAGTAGACTGGAATTAACTGAAACAAAGCTCCAGGGTTTGGGGCTCTGGCCTTTTACACCTGCCCAGCTTGGTGTGGAGCATGACCGGCCAGAGCCTGGAGTTGTGGCCAAAAATATTTTTGGGTTTTGTTTCCAACTGGACAACCCAATTACTTCGTATTCCTCTTCTTGAATGGTTGATGTAGGCACAGTTTTCTCCCTCAGCTCCCTGTTACTAACATCTCTCTGATCCTTGTGGAATGGGATTAGGATGCAGCGATAAGCATTTATGTGGACCAGACCAGAGACTGGTCTCTCTTATAGCCATTGCCTTGAATCATTAGTAAGGAACATCTACCCCCACCCTCCTAAGCACTTGATGGTGCAGTCCTGTACTTGAGTTAGCAAGGGGTATACGGACTCTTTCTTACTGTTCCTCTGCTCCCTGCAGCCCCCTCTGCTCCTCTTCAAAGCTGATGCTTGTTGAAGCTCAGCAGGTATGGAATTACTGTCTCACAAGAGTGGGTTTTTCTAATCACCAGGTGTCCAAGCTTCCCATTGCCTCTGTGTTCCTGTGGCAAGAAGCCTCCCTGAAGTGTCTGTCTCCCGCTAAAAAGACTGAGGGCTGGCTGTGATAGGTGGTGAAAGTTTGCAGAGCTCTGGCCCTTTCATCCTTCTTGGGGGAGGGAAGATAGGTAAACACTAAAATGTTTTTCCTTGTTTCTTGTCCCCCACTGACATAGCTGCCCCTCTTAAAGGTCTGGATTGCACCAGGTAGCTGCCAGCACAGGTCCTGGTCTCTTGCAGGTGGCTCTCCCCATATTTGTCTTCATTGGCTTTCCCTGCAAGCTGCACAAGTTTTGCCCCTAGGCTGGAGTATTCTGGAAGCAATGTTACACATTCCCTCTTTGCTTTTTATCTCCATAGCTGTTTTGGGAGCAGACTTGAAACCTGACATGACCCAGCTGGTTAAAATTGTCCCTCTTAGTTTCCCAGGCAGCAGTTGCTGCTGCCACTGCACATTTCACAGACTCTGCAGCCACTGCAGTGCTACTGAGGGTGGACCCAACATCCATGGGAGTGGGAAAAGAAGCTACTCCTTGCTTTTGTTGGGTTTTGGGTCGAGCCCTAGGTACTTAGTGGAGCCAAAATAAAAATGACCTCTCTGTAGATCTGTCCAGGGACCAGGAAATGCCTCTTGCTTGCTTAAAATTGTCTAGGGGAGGAGAGGGAAGCACACTCAAGTGTCACAGACGGATGCCCCTACCCCCAAGCAGGAAGGAAAATGGAGAGTTTGGAGCAAGATACTGTGTTCTTGGCTGTAGTTTCTCTGTTCCTCTCCTGCTTGATGCCATCAGCAGACCTGCACATTTCCAGATGACCCTTCGTTGCTCTGTTAGGAGAACTGGGGTCTAGTTTACTGCCTGGAGTTTACCTTTCCTCTCGTATCCTAATCTGTGTGCTTGCTCATTCACTTTCTCAGAAGTGACTGTGAGCAAAGAGCACCTTGCTCCCTCAACATCCCTCCCAGAAGCATGTGGTTGAAGAGGAGGCAGGTTCTGTGAGGATAAGATAGAGGAAGGCATAAGGACAGTCTCCTCCTGTACTCATGTGTCTGGGGGTATGGTGAAGCAGGTGGGAGCAACAGTGCTGACTGTTGAGGGAGCTGGAGGCAGGATCAGTGGATCCAGCAGCTTCTCTGCTGCTGGATTTTCCCATTTGCACATATCCTGTGATGTCATTCAGTTACTGCTTTTCATGAATCTGTCGCTGCTTAAGTGGACATGCAAACTATCTGCCAGGCTTTGTGTGGGCTTGGTGTAAAACTTGCTTTTCTTCATGCTGTAAGGCGCCTGGAAAGCAGGGCTGAAGATTGAATGAGCTTTCCTTCCATCTTCCATGGCTTTGATTAATAGTCTTTTGGTGTGAGGTATTTATGTTAAACTTCCCCTCTCTTAGGAAAGTGGAGCATGCGACATGATCCCTTCCTCCCCTTTCCTTGCATTTGCAGGCCTTGATGGTGTCCCAGGGTCACTTAATTGGTGACCGTCCCTGATCTTTTTTGTGTTGGGTGGCTGAGATCTCTGGGATTGTCCTGCTGAGCTTCAAGGTGATCCAGGCTTGGGGAAGCGTTTTTTAAAAGTGATTCGGAAATATATGCTGCATACATATGCTGTGCAGAGGAACTGGATATTCTCAGAGCTTCCTGTATGTAGTGGTTTCAAGTATAACCATTTTGTACTAGCTGCCTTCAGAGAAGCTTGGTGAAGAACTAGTGCCCAAACAACAGACAGCTTCCATGCATTATAATTTTATATACATATATATTTTTTAACACCACACAAAATCATCTCTGAGCTTCCTGCTCTCCCTCACCACAGGCAAGTGCCAGAGCAAGGACTGGTTCTGAAGCCTTTCTGGCTTGGAGAACTTATAAGACCCAGAGTTTGAGACCAAGGAGGCCAAGGCATCCATGGTCTTGCAGGTCTGCTCACAGTAGCCCAGGGGTCCCAACAGACCTGTTTACTCCAGGAGTAGGCCCTTGGAGCTGCTCTCCCTCACCTGCTTCCCCTTTCCTTTCTTCCTTCTTTTTGTTTACCATGTAACATACCCATGGGATTTGTTTATTATTTTTCCATATAGAGTAGTTCTTTGTATATAAATGACTGAAAAAAAAATATGTATGATAAATAAGACAGAGTCACCTAGTTTTGTACCTATCGTGTTTAACTGATGTGAGCTCAGCGACAAGCCGCTCTCTATTTTGGTCTTTGTGACGTTATACTCTGCAGAAATGAGCAAATATGATGACAAATATAGAGATAATATAGATTGTACTTAAGCTGCCTCTGTGTGGTGCTGTCTGAGTGACTTCCCTGAACTGATTCTGAGGTTTTGTTCATTGCAGGGGCTGAGGCTTAGTGGGTCTGTATGGCTTGTCCTCCTAGTCCTCTGGGGAGGAAAGTTTCATGCTGTGGGCTGGAGCTGATGGAGAAGCAGTGCTGCAGCAGCCTGGGGCTGAGACATCACTGATAGCCCAAGGCACCAAAACCTGGAGTAGAGATGAGTCCTGATCCTGGGTGCTCAGTGCAAAACACCTGTGGGAGAAAGGGGCCTGCTTTCTCCAACACTGGCGCCAGCAAACAGGGGCTCTGGGCTTTTCTTCCATGCACAGTGGTGGGGCTGGGGCAGTTTGCAGTGGCAAAAGGGAATGTGAGTGTAAAACCCTGCAATCTGATGGGATCTGGCCTGCCTGGGCATCAGGCAGATATGCTCATTGCTTCCACCGTGGCACTGAGGAAGGGTGGCTTTCTCCCACAGGGAGGAGGTTGGGCTTCAACTCTGGATAAGGCACCCAGCATGTTTCCTTCTTTTCCTGCCACCCACAGACATGAGCTCCTTGCTTTCTTCCTCGCTGTTCCTGAGTCAGGCAGTGAGGTCACTCAAAAGAAGGGATTTTTTGGGTAGAGCTGCCCTGATTCTACCTGCCTCTCCTCCAGCACCAGGTCCAAGGGCAGCCTGAAGGGGATTTTTCTAGCAAAAAGCATTATCTTTCCTAGGAAAAGCTGATTTCAGCACAGCTGAACCACTCCTGAAAACAACTGCTTTGCAGGTGATGTTGAGCATTAAGCTTGCTTACTGAGCCTTTTTCTTCTAAAGACTAGAAAGCTGTGTGTTCTAAAGCATCGCAAGCTGTCCCCCATCCCATCTTTTTTGGGCACATTATTGAACATGTCCTGCAGCAAAGCTTGAGGGAGCTAGAAAAGCTGGTCTCACTGAGACAGCTCTGTCCTGAAGTTCAAGAATGACTAAATGCATTCTCACTGTGGAAAAAAAACACAAACTTGCTTTATTTGTAAAGTTTACAAAATACAGAGGAGTTGAGTAGGACACATACTGTAAGTCAGAAAATAAATAAGTTTTTTTTGCTCTATATAAGATAAAATGTGATTTGCATATATAAAATATAAAGTACAGCTCTGTACCAACATCCTGGCTGTGCCGAGAGGCGGAATGGCAAAGAGGACGTGAAAATAACTTATGTTCGTGCAATAAATAAACTCAAGAGGAGTTGGGGGGGGGTGGGTGGTGGTGTGCTAACTGCAGCGCTCACTCCACAAGCAGTGGGCACCTCTCTCTGGGGAGGGATGGAGGCTGCAGCCGAGGGTGGCTGGCATGACAATACCCAGGCAGGGGCAGAAAGCTGAGGGGGGTCATCTACAGCAGCAGATGCCAAGGGTCTGCCTCCTGTTACCTCCTCCAGGCTGTCTGTATTTAGCAAACCCAAATCTGCTCCTGCACTTCAGCCTGCAGAAGAGCCTGTTGTCCCACACCAGCGTCCAAGCTGGAGGAAAACCAAAGGGAGGAGCCAGCCTACCTGCCTGCCAGGTGGCTCCCAGGAGTAGGGATGCTCTCCGCCCCTTCCTCCCACCTTCAGCATCTCTACCTTTCTCTCTGCCTCCACAGCTCTGGCTCTCCGTGGCCAGGAGCACCTTCCTGTGGGCTTTGTAGGCGGTGGGGAGGCAGGGAGCACTTGGTGGGGCCATACAAGCTGGCCTGTGCTGAGCAAAACGGTGTTTATCTCTGCTCCAGCTGCCTCCGCTTCCTTCCTGCTAGTGCCACTGTGTTTCAGAGACACCGGGCCAGGCTGAGCATCCAGTAGGCAGGAAGAGGTGTGAAGGATGTGTGATGAAGAGATAGAACAGCACCACTGCTGTTCCCATTTGTGGGCAATAGCCTGGGCTAATCCATTGCTCATGTCCCCCAGCTCTCCCTGAGGGAATTTTCTCCATCGCTGTCAGCTCTGGGCTCCCCCAGTGCCACAAGCTGCCACGGCACTTTCCCATCCCGCTCACCCTTACCAGGCACCAACCCGCAGTCACTTTCTCTACCCCTCTGACTTGCACCTTCCCTGGCCATCTCCATCACTGGAGTCTCCAGCCATACCGCCACCTCCCTCCTTGCTCCAGCCATGGTCCAAGTTGTGGGGCCAATGCTGACACCCCATCTCCATTGAAACCCTTCTGCCCCTCTCTGTGAAACCTCTCACCCCTCCTTTTCCTCCCTGACACATGCTCCTGGAAGTGCCTGGCCAGCACTCAGGTCTCCTGTGGCCTCTACAAAAAAGAAGGTGCCTGGTGTTTTTCTGCCAGCTTGGAGCCATGGGATGCTTCCTCACTGCTGCCTGCACAGGCTCACCCTTTCCTGCCTATACCCCCAAGGGCAAGGGGTGCCCAGCCAGGGGGGGCTGCAGCAGGGGATAGGGCTAGGTGGGAGCAGAGGGGGCTGTAGGACTTTGGGCACCACTGGTGCAGTCCTGTCCTCCACCCCAGCACCCACGCTGCGGCAGCCTGCCCTACATGGAGGAGCTGGAGGCCAAGGGATGGAAGAAGGAAGATTATGGGCACAGGTCCCAGCAGGGAGGAGGTCAGAGAGGGTACAGGAGGCAATTTATGGGGGAAGGTGCCCCAGGGGGGCTGTGCCCAGCTGGGGGACTGAGGCCAGCACTAGGAATAGGCGGCTTGGTTGGTGCTGGACTTGACGATGGTGATGACACTGGCAGTGGCCACCTTGGCAGGGGGCCCATGGGCAGCCACGGTGCGGGCAAAGCCCTGCAGGGCCTCATACTTGCCACGGAGGGTGTCAAGCTCCAGGCGCATGGCAGCATTCTCCCGGGCCAGCTTGTCCACCTCCCACTCCAGCTCCATCTTCTGCTTCTGCAGCTCTTCCTTTTGGCAGACGCGCTTCACCCGGCAGCTGGCGGCATAACCCCGGTTCTTCAGCGTCCGTCGGCGCTGCTTCAGCCTTGCCACCTCCTCCTTGGACAGGCCACGCAAGTGGTGGTTGAGCTCCCGCACCGACAACCCCATCAGCTCCTCATCCGACAGCAGCGGTGTGTTCTCCCCCAGCTCCCGCTTCACCTGCCGTAGAGAGGAGCAGTTGCCTGAGACCCCCGAAACCAGACCCCTGCCCTCCCAACCCCTTAGTCCCATCAGTGCTCACCTTCAGTGCCTTGCTGGAAAGCCCATCTGCAGCCATCCTTGTCTCACACTGGCCCTGCCAAGCAGCCAGGAAAAAAGGTGGTTACTGTCAGCCCATGCCCCTTGCCTCAGCACAAAGGGCACCAGCCCTGCTGGGCCCCTGCCTGGTGCTCAAGTCTCCCCACTGGCTACATGACTCATCCATACTCCTTAAAAAAAAAGGTATGTAGCAATAATAATAATGGTGACTGCTAAAAGTAATAAGAATGGGGGAAGGCTGGACCTCCCATCCCTCCTTCATCCCACCCGAGGTGGCTGGGATGCTGCTTTGCCCAAGGGACCCGAAACACCCCAGCCAGGGCTGCTGGGAGGTTAAGGCTTCCCCCCGGGGAGGAAACCTGGGCGAGATCCGCCTGGGTCTGAAAAGAAAGTAAAAGCAGCAGCCCCACGGGGCGAAACCAGGGCAAAGTCTCCCAGTCAGGACCTGCGTGGAGGTGCCACCCCACCGACCCCGTGCCTGGCGGGCCAGGGCCGCGGCTCCCGGTGCAAGGCTCGAGTGTCCACAGGCGAGAAGGGTCGGGGCCCGGCCACGCGGCGTGGGCGGGCGAGAAGTGGCCTTTCCGTGATTCAGCAGCCCAGCGGGGAAAAGTCACCGAAACGGCGCCTGGTCTCTCGCCGGTGGCCGGTCCCTTCCCGTCTCTGGGTTAGGAGAGAAAGCCGGGAGCCTGT